TTGCTACAAAATAAATAAATAATAAAAATAAAAAATGAAATAAAAATGCAAGTTAAAGACTTGTCTACTTATTAAGTAGCCTTATAGGCCTACTTGTCTTGTTGTTGTGGGCTTTATACATGGGTGAGGGCTAATTGTTGTGAACACAAGAGGTCCTAGTGGAAATATTACAGATGAGTAATGCCTTACCTCCGAGCCTCCGGCAGAGTTTTTGTCCTAAGTACAGGAATTATCAAATTCAGCCCTCTAATAAATACAAGTTCTTTTGCCTCAGACCACCTAACAAATGAATCTGTTCACATTTTTTAAGACCCCTGACTTTTAACATTTGTTTTGCTAGCTAATTGAGCAAATTAAAACACAATACTTACATTTATAAGTGTATTCGTTGGCAGCCACAGAACCATCACCACTATTTTGTTTGAATAAAAGTCCAGTCGACACAGCTGCTGGGACACAGCAGCTGTGTCCCAAAGTGAAGTGCGCATTTGAAGTGCGATTGCATCACAGCGTCATGACGTAAGCTGTCCCAATTCAGAATGCACCCTCCGAAGACCTCATTCCAAGGCCGATTGCGTCACCGTGGCACGACCATGGCTGATGTATTTCGAAAGCGACTTCAAATGCACCCTCCGTTTCCCAGGAAAATGAAGTGTACATCTGTTGGACACTTCACACCCCACCATATCCCAGAATCACTTGCCTGCAGTTGATGATGGAATACTCAAAGAACACGGCGGGTGAGAGTTCTGTGGGGGAATTCACATTGAAATGTAAGTATTGTGTTTTCATTTACTCAAATACCTAGCGAAACAAGTGTTAAAAGCCAGTTTTTTTTAAACAAAGCCCACAAACAATAAGACAACCACTATATAAGGCAATAGTCTTTCTTTTTGTTGTGTTTTTGTAGTGCTGTCATGTCTACAAATGTTTTAACCTAACTTTAGCACTTCATTATTTTGTATGCATGTCCTGCTCTGTCATATTTTCTAATGTTAAGATTGCAAACCTGTCTTTATATTTTTCATAAGTGTATCCATTTTCTCTTGTTTTAGGACTATTCTGGAGAAAATGAGCCTGCTGGGGAAAGACTTAAAAATACAAAGTAAGCAAGTTAATAGAGATATTTTTGCTGAAATTCATTGTGCTGTTGTTGTTGTTGTTGTTAACAGGCATGGTTTATTTGCTCTGCCTTAGGATTGCAAGTGTCCTGGGACAGGTGAGGGAGTGAGTGGAAGCTGGTGGAGCTACTCGGGGAGGATATCAAACTCCAGAGGGAGACAGAGGAGAGAAGAGCACAGGAGAGCAGCGAGAGGATGGAGGGACTGTTTTCTCTTCTTCAGAGAATGCTTAACAAATACATTATTTATTAGCCGAGAGAAAACAGTGGAAAAAAATGGGTACATTACAATTTTTCAATATCTTTTTTCAATGTCACATTGTCAATGAAGCAACCTAATTTCTGTAGTTTATTTTTGTGATGCAAGTTAAAAATGAAATGAATAAGTTGTATACATTATTCATTTTTGTAGTGTAATTTATTTGTAAATGAGCCTGAGTACTTTCTGTATTTTTGTTTTGCATATTCACATGTGTAAATAAAAGAGAAGTAATTATGTACATTGTTCATTTTTTTTAATGCAGCTTATAATTTTTTCACAAAACGTTATTCTATACATTTTCTTTTACACATTTAAACAAATTGTTCTATACATTACTGAAAGTACTTTTTAGTCAGCATTTGAACTTCTATGTGTGTGTGTGTGTGCGTGCGTGTGTCTGAGTGTGTGTGTATTTTGTAGTTTTCATATGTATGATTACATTATTCAAGTAAGCTCCAAGCCAATTCCTGCATTTAAAGTTGTAATCTGACAAAGGACGCAGCAAACTAGTGTAATTTACCTGGCCTCGGTCTTGGCTAAGCCTGATGTACATCACCGTCTCCTCCATTATGACGTAAAACATAAAAACAAAAATGAGCAATTCTGGCTCAACCTATCCACCAATTTTTAAAAGCCAAAGATTCATGAGATTCAGATTTTGTACAAATGACTTTAACTTTGTCCCCTTACTTTAAGCTGCTTTGGAGTTCATTCTCCAAAAATTCCTGGCTACTTCACAGTGTCATTTCACAAATCCTATGACATTTACTGAACCATGACACTGACTAAACTACATTAACCTTTGACTTTTGACCACTGAAACCAAGAATGTTCTTAAAGGTCAGGACTGACAGACCTGTAATCAAAAGGCTTACTGTCTGCTATAACTACTGCACCAGACTAAGTAAAACAACTTGATTTAAAACTGTGCATTACCAGAGAAATCATGCTGTTAAAAAAGTTTTGTCCCACTCTCAGAAACACAAAGATAGCGATGCTCTGAATATTATCCATTTTCACTGTGCACAAAACATTTCTAAGCATAATAAAATAACACAAATATTTCCACTTGTTTCTTCTTCAACATGCCACTATAAAAGTCATGGTACTTTTTCAGGCTTTTCAGATACTGAAGTCACATAATAACAATGACACAATTTGTGATTCTGCTTCATTTAAAATAATAATAAAAAAACAAAACAAAAATCGGAGACTTTAAGAGAATATTACATCCCGTGCTTTCTGTTTCCCAAATTTTGATTAGTCTTGATTCTGAACTAAATAGCGTGTCAGTGGCAGAGGTCTCTTCAAGAATCCACTTAATCAAGGTTTAATCTAAATACACTGCCATTCAACTAGCCCTTTAGGTTTTGACCAAAAAAAGAAACGTTTCACCCAAAAATGATAATTTTGTCATCATTTACTCACCTTCATGTTAATCCAAGAACCATATGACTTTCATTCCCTCATGAACATAAACATACTGTGACGATAAGGAATATTTTAAAGAATGTTCAGGCTGCCCTTTTCCACACAACAAATTTGCCAATCAAAAAAAGCATCAAAAGAGTGTTATAATATGCCATATTCCAAGTCTTCTGAAGACATATGAGAGCTTTTACATAAGGAACAAACCCGGTTTCATCCGTTAGATTCGAGAACCTGTCAAGCTACAGTACATTGAATTATCAAGTTGGAATGTGCGCAAGCACAGACAACAGAGGGGCTGACTGATTATGACTTCACCTCACCTAATGCCTAGTTCACACTACAGGATTTTAAGCCCAATTTGCAAATTAACGAGCTCGCCAACAGGTCGGGCTGTGATCGGGGGAAAATCAGCGGTTGATCGGCGCTCAGCAATCTTTATGTGTGAACTAATCAACGACACATCAAAGAGGCTCACTGACACGTCACCGACAATTTTTTTTTGCTCCAAACAGCATGCAGCACTAATTTCTTCCCGATGTTCATTTTCAAAGAAACAACTCCTGTTTGCCGTATCCAGCCCAGATGGTGGATCAGCACCTAGAGATGACCTCTACAGCCCTGAATGTCAGCGGAGATCAGGACAACTAGATGAGCCCCAGAGACAGATCCCCAGTGAAGACCTTGTCTCCTAGACGGCCACCGGGACAAGACCACAGGAACCAGTTGAGTCCTCTTCACAATATGTGACTTTGCTGCAGCCTGGAATTGAACTACTGGTTTTGTCTGGCCAGAGGAGAAATGGCCGCCCGACTGAGCCTGGTTTCTCCCAAGGTTTTTTTCTCCATTCTGTCACCGATGGGAGTTTTGGTTCCTTGCCGCTGTCGCCTCTGGCTTGCTTAGTTGGGGACACTTAATTTCCAGCAATATCGTCAACTTGATTGCACAGACACTATTTAAACTGAACTGAGCTGAATGATGAACTGCCTTTAACTGAAAATTGAATGTTTACTATTGTCATTTTGCATTAAGGACACTATTTTCCTAATTAATGCTGTTCAGTTGCTTTGACACGATCTGTATTGTTAAAAGCGCTATATAAATAAAGGTGACTTGACTTGATTTGACTTGACTGTTTTACTTGTTGTTTCGCGTCATTCCCGTTCAACTTTCATGACAAAACGTGGTTTGGGGATGGGATAAAGTCGTTGGGTGACAGAGTTGTCGTCAGCGCATGTAGTGTGTGACCCCCTGTTGCAGATCATTTACGCAGTGTCACATACTGTGAACACCACGACTTCAAGAAAGCCAAGAAGTCATCTAGTCTGAACAGCACAGCGATCTGCCGTATAGTGTGAACTAGGTTTAAAGTAACCACAAAGGTCATCCAGACTGTTTTTGTGGTATCTCATAATCCTGTTTTTGGAGCTTAACAGCCACTAGTCACTCTCTACCTTTATTACATGCAAAAGAACAGCCAGTGCATTCTGCTTAACATCCTCTTTTGTGTTCCTTGGAAGACTGAAAAACCACAGCTTTGGAACAACATGAGAACTAGTACATTTTTGGATGAACTATTCCATTAAGACTTATATTCAGTTTATTTATAGCAAAACAACACACGGTTTAATAATATATTATTGAATTTGTTATTATTAGAAGATGTAGGTTCAAGGACGATGCCAAATAGTACAAGCCCTGAGACACAATATATAATTGTCCATTATTTTGACTCTTTCCTGTGGACCAGAGAGGGTTGCACTTGCAAGTCAACTCCTAGTAGCACTGCAAGACACAGCAGAAGGAGCGTCACACTGTCCAGTCGGAAAGGAAGTGACGTCATCAGCTCCTGTGCGTTGTGTACCAATTGTGGGTGCTCTTAACTTCTTCCAACAGGTGTAGTTATGCCACCAGTGTTGTGTTCTTAAGTACTTTCAACTTAGTAATCTTACAGAAGTTAAAAACTCATTCTCCTTGTCCTCCAAGTCATCTTTATTTTTGTCTTAGTGCTGAAGCAAGAAGTTTGTTGCGATGTTAATGTCATTATTAGATGCTCTGAGAGCTTCTTGGGCATCCATCCTCGAGAAACCCATCTCCATTAATCTTGCAACCTGGTGAAAACAGCATTGTATTATTAAAAAGCTAAATCTAGCAACCCATGACACTAAACAAAAATCTTCCTGATAGAAGGTGGAATTGGAAAAGGAATTGTTCACACAAAAACGTAAATTTGCTTAAAATGTACACTTGCTCAGTTCATCGAAGATGTAGATGATTTTGTTTCTTAATCAGAACAGATTCGGGGAAATTTAGCACTACATCACTTGAGTGAATGGGTGCCATCAGAATGAGGATCCAAACAGCTGATAAAAACATCACGATAATTCAGAAGTAATCCACATGACTCCAGCCCATCACTTAAAGGGGTCATATGATGCAATTTCAAGTTTTCCTTTCTCTTTGGAGTATTACAAGCTGATTGTGCATAGATAAGATCCCTGAAGTTGGAAAGACTAAAGTCTCAAAACCAAAGAGAGATTCTTTATCAAAGTTAAAACGGCTTGTTCAAACACACCCCCACATATCTACCTCACTATGTGGAAATATTAGCAATGCCGCCCAAATGTTCACGCAAAGAAAGAAGGCGGGGTTTCAGGAACAGCAGTTAGTGTTGAAGCATCCATGTCAGGGAGACGCTGTGTGTTTCTAGGCGAAAGCAAAAGCACTTTATTTGGCCTTCCGAAATTAGATGCATTTAGGAATCTTTAAGATTACTAGCAACAGAACAGCCATGCATTTTATGGACGACCGTTTCATGAACCTAGGAGAGGAGGTAATTCTGACTTTGCTATGACAATCTGGCGCTTCTGAATCAGCTACTGTTTTGTTATTAGTTTAAGTATTTGCTATTGACTGTTCAAATGCGGAGTTTTACACATCATGTGTGAGTGTGAGAGAGAGAGAGAGAGAGAGAGAGAGAGAGAGAGAGAGAGAGAGAGAGCGCGAGAGAGTGCGAGAGAGAGAGCGCGTCACATCAAAGTGGAGTCAGCTGTCTTAACGGTGGCTTGTGTACTGCAAACACATACCAGCTTCATCACAGTGTCTGTCACGCGACTCTGTTCCCCTTTCGGGCTCTGTCTTTACATTTATTTTGAAAGATGAAGCTCGCGATTATGGTAAGGGGCGTTACATTTCCGACGAGTGCTTGCGGTGTTCGACCAATCACAATGCACTGGGTCACCTGGCCAATCAGAGCAGACTGCGCTTATCGGAAGGAGGGACTTTGTAGAAAACGAAGCGTTTGAGAGAGGCGGGGCATAGAGGACCTACAATAATGTACAGTATTTGAAAAATAATGTGTTTTTTGAACATTAAAGCATGTCAACATTCTGTTACACCAAATAATTATCTTTAAAAAAGCATCATATGACCCCTTTAACATCTTGTGAAATGAACCTTAAACCATTGAAAGTACACTTTCAGCAAATTTCCAATTTTGGGTGAACTGCTTGGGTGATTGGCATATAATCTCACCTGCTCCTCAGCCACAGCTGTGTTATCCGGCGGGTGGATATCGGGCTGTTGTTGCTGGGGACCCTCATGGTGCCGGTTCTGTCCTCTGTGCCTTAGAGTGGGGAAGAATCGGTTCCAATTCAGGAGACCTGTCTGCTGAATTAATGACAGGAATTATTTTTAAAGTCACCATGGAATAAAAATGGACGATTCCTATTTTTATGGAATATTGCAGTGTTTATTATAAATCATCTGTGCATATCATTATTATTATTATAATTATTATAATTCATTAATCTTCATAATCTTTAATCAAAAACATCCCCTCCCCTCGGAACAACATCTCTTATGACATCCTTTCTGCCTCGGTGTGAGGGCGGGTCAATAATCCGTCCCTTCCAGCAACCTGGCACTCACATCAGACTGCAGCAATTAGCAAAATGACAAAGATCCCACCCTACATTTTTCTCATTGGTTTCATATAATCTGATATAAAATAAGGAAGAGAAGACCATTGTAATTTGTTTAATGCCGACTTTAACAACAGAGTATCCTTCCTCTAGTAATAGAAGTTGCTTTTTTGTAACTGTAGTGATTTCTGTCTCTCTCCACATTCAAAAACTCCAATTAAATAAAGACTGAACAACTTCTAAACATTATCCCAACTACATACTCATAACACTACTACAGGTTTATCAACTACAGCGCTAACATACTCTAGACCCGATACATAGCTACACATGGGACTCAAAGTGCACTTCTAACATGAGAGAAAACATCTCGGTTACATATGGTAACCTTCGTTCCCTGATGGGAGGGAACTGAGACATTGTGTCGAAGTTCCAACACTATGGGTCGCTCTTGGAAGCCCAGACACCTCTGACATCATTGAGAAAAGGTCAATAAAATCTGTGAACACAATTTGCATAGCTGGCCACACCCCGGACATAAATAGGCCAGTGTGGCATTTGCTAACTCGTTCTTGTTCTGAGGAGCCGAGAAGCATCTCAACCCACTCAGAGGCAGTTCAGAGTTGTGGCATAAGAGACACAATGTCTCTGTTCCCTCCATCAGGGAACGAGAGTAACCATAACAATGTGATTTTCTGGATTTTTTTTTCTCATTTTGTCTCTCATAGTTGAGGTATACCTATGATGAAAATTACAGGCCTCTCTCATCTTTTTAAGTGGGAGAACTTTCACCTCTCCTCCTCATAACCATCCAACACTCAAAACTTATGACCTCGCTCTCCAACACCCAGGAGAGCCACCATTATAAGGCATAGGTCACCTCAGCCAGAACCTTTTCTCAATCTGAATAGGTAGGAACAAGTAACGGTTGAAAAATCTTGCTTGATAACGTTGGGAAAGCATCTGTTTCCTGAGTGGGGAAAAAACACTACGGCGACCACATCCTACCTGAAGGGAATGTGACATGTGGAGACCAACCTATGGACTTAGTGACAGGAAGTACTACATAGGGAAGATTTCTGTGGTGGGCCCACTGATCTATAATAGAGAACTGGATTGCTCATGACGTCATAAAAGTGAAGCCACCGCGCCGCCATATTGGTATTCCCTAGTATTCCCATACATTCTATTGCATTAATAAGAAATCATATTTTAATGAGAAAACATCAACTAACAAGTCAGCGTTTTTATATCTGAAGTATGTTTGAACAACGCAAATGTCCTAAGCATGTAAACGGTTATTTGTTTAAAAGTTGGGAATTTCCCCTGCATATTAAAAAGTTACGTTCATATACATTACAGTAGCGTACATCAGATGAACATGATGAACATCAGACACTCAACATATGCATTACAAATGACAAAGTGCTCATTCTGAAATCTGAATATTTATGCTTTGTATACATATATCTTAATTCGCCTTGTACAGTTATTCAGGGTTTATGTAATTTTGTTATAGTGCTTTTATATGTACAGTAGGCCAACTGCAAGTGTTTCAATAATGATTTCTTCAACCGCATTCATTTTGACGCAGGCAATGATTTAAACGCAGCTTAAATTAATAATTAATTAAACATACATAACATAATATTTTACTCCTATGAAAACGGTAATGCTAGTAAAATGCCATATAATTTGCGAGACCTTTATGAGTCTGAAAGATGTAGCTCAATCAGGACATTAAAAATATACACATCATAACTTATTCAGAGAAATATTGCTCACTACATATGATACAGACTTAAAGACATGAAGCTTTATTTCCAAGATTTGAATTTCAAAACAACATAGAGCAATATAATAACAGAGGCTTGTATTATATTATTTATTGTATATCCAAATCAATTTCTGATACTAATACCAGATATACATTCATGTTTAATATTTCCTGCATAATTACATGCATAAAGAAATATATTTTATTTTGTATCAGTTACCCGTGTCGGCAGTGTGCAGCAGACACACCCACCTAAATGATTTCAATAAATTACTTATCCTGCCCAAAAAGACCATTGCAGATAACAAATGAAGTAAAAATTAATTTACATACACATATCTTAAAAACGTATCCTGTGTGACTGATACGCTTCATATCGGGCGATTTTAGGTCAATGTTTTAGCTGTCAGGCAATGAAGCTCTCTGCTGGCAAAGAATAGTAAGATTAATGTAGCGAGTTCCTCCGCTGAACGTAAAAGTGCTTGAGTGATGGAAGGGTAGTCCAATGTTCCTAAGAAGGAACTGAGCTCTACACCCTAACAGCCAGCTGAGTTCAAGGACTAGTGCTCATAACTCTGGACGAGACTGGTTCCATACTCAGATTGTAGAATCTGGCAAATGTATTAAGTGTAGCCCAACCTGCAGCTCTACAAATGTCCGCTAGTGAGGCACCATTTGCTAATTGTGTGTAATAGTGCACCATCACTTCCTGTGGGCATGGTAAGCCTCTGGCCTGATAGGCCTTAAGGATCGTGTCCACAATTCAGTGGGAGATCCTTTGTTTAAAGACATCATTCCCATTCTTCTGACATCCAAAGCAGACAAAGAGCTGTTCAGACAATCTGAAACTCGGTGTGTGTTCTAAATAGATGTGCAAGGGGGATAGCTTCTAGGAGGAAATTTGCTCTTAAAGATCCCTGTTGAAGCACCCAGGGGTACTCTCACAACACTTAGCTGTGTGTGGGGAAGGGACCTAGACCTGTGCCATAGATCCAACAATGAGGAGATAGAGAGGTGAATGAAATGCTGCTTCTCACAGAGAGATGCTGCATTTGGCTCCGAAAAACAGAACGAGTGAGCAAATGCCACGCTGGCCTGTTTATACGCAGATGACCGGGGTGTGGCCAGCTATCCACTGATATGGAAAACTCTGGAAATGTAAACTGCCCTCCATCACTGATTTCCTCACTAACAGCATGGCTTATGGTCCAACACTATGTGAACATACCCTTCTCAAGAAAATAAAATTTTGAAATGGAAACAACTTCTAACCCATACAGAATATTTAAAATACCAATAATCTAATTTCACTGAACAGGTCTAAAAAGTTAAATCTGAACAGGTAAACTTATATAAAATACAAGAAAAACACTTATAAGCCAAATTATAAAACTAATTTACAAATAGTAATTTACATAAGCCAAACACACAGGACATAGTACAGGAACTTGATTCAGTGAATCATAATTTTTGTGAGTCTATTAATTTAGATTCACCAATTCACTAAAATCAGTTGAACTACTGTCAGACTTCGGAAAGATGTAGTTGAGATAGTAGAATCTCTACTTACTTAGTCACTCCCAACACCAAATAACAAGTGCTGGTGAATAAAATAGATTTTTATTCTGACAATAACCCACTGCCACGTCACATTGCTGAGATATTCTAAACCATAGTTCCCTTTCAGTCAGTCACGTTCTACGTTACGTCAGTCGTGACTGACGAATTGGGATCTCGCCCGAGAGCCCAATCACCTTCGAGTGTTAACTAAACAAGCCAATGACAGTTGGCGTGCGTGTTTCGCCACGCACACCCTGCCCCGCAGCGCGGGTATAAAAGGAGAGCACGTGAAAACGCACATCAGCTTTTCGCTTCGGAGCCGAGCCTTCTCAGGACGGAGCTCCGCGAGTGTTTGGAAGAAACCGCTGGCGTTGGTGTTCTGGTGCGTCAGCGGGGGTTGCCATTCAGTGCTGCTCATCTTCGGCGTACTGCAGTTGCCATTCTGCGGTCTCGCCGCGACCTCCCCTGGGCGCTTCAGCGCTCTCTCTAAAAGGGTGTTTCCTTTTTTTCCTAAAAGAGCAAATGTCTAAAAGAGCTCCACGAGCGACGGGCGTCTTTTTAAAGATGGCTTCCCCCTCGTGCGTTTCTGGATGCGGTCGTTTCCTGCCTCCATCTGATGGTCATGATCGCTGCCTCTCGTGCCTGGGCTTATAGCACGCTTAAGCAGCGCTCATGGATGAGTCATGTTCTCAGTGCGGGAACATGACCATCGCGACGTTGTGGTCTAGATACCTCCTCATTAAATGGGGGGGTATCCCCCTTGCCATGCCCCGCTCTAGCTCTTCCGGTTCTCGGAGGGCTACTTCGGTTGATGGTCAGGGAGACCTGAGGGTTACAGTGATACACTATTGCCATGCAGCTCTGCCCGCAAAGCGCCGCCATCTGGAGGGGTAGTCCACGCCTTCCGTCCAGAGCCTGTAAGTTCTCGTCCGCTCTGACGGCTAAGGCTTACAGCGGTACTGGACAGGCCGCTTCCGCCCTGCACGCCATGGCCCTCCTGCAAGTCCACCAGGCCAAAGCGTTGAAGCAGTTGCACGAGGGTGGTGCTGACCCAGGTGTGCTGCAGGAACTGCGCACGGCGACGGACCTCTCGCTTAGGGCGACGAAAGTCACGGCGCGGGCCCTGGGTCAGACGATGTCCACATTGGTGGTC